TTTAACATTCTTAGATTGGGCAGTAGATTTTCTATATGTACAAAAAACTGTTGACAAGGTGAACTTTGATTTTCCAGAGAACTAAAAAAAAATCTAATCAGATAAGGTTGTTTTCCTTTTTTTTTTTGCCACACCCGGGAGTGCTCAGCGTTTACTCCTGGCTCTGTGCTTGGGGATCCCTCCTGACAGTCCTTGGGGGACAGTATGTGGTGCTGGGGATAGAACTTGGTGGTCATTGTGCAAGGCAAGTGCCCTTCTTGCTGTATTATCTCTCCAGTCCCAAGATTTTTTTCCTGCTTCTCAATGGTCAGCAATATAGTGGAATTTCAGGAGTTTAACTTTATTCAACTATTGATGTGTAGGTGGGCTGGAGCAATAGCCCAGCAGTAGGGCGTTTGCCTTGCAAGCAGCCAACATGGTCGACCCGAGTTCAATTCCTCCGCCTCTCTCGGAGAGCCCGGCAAGCTACCGAGAGTATCTCTCCGCATGGCAAAGCCTGGCAAGCTCTTCGTGACGTATTCGATATGCCAAACACAGTAACAGTTATGACAATGGAGACGTTACTGGGCCCTCTCGAGCAAATCGATGAACAGCGGGAGGACAGTGACAGTGACCGATGTGTAGGTATCACCACCTCCATAATAAATAAATAAATAAATAAATAATCTATTGCATAGGGGATACAAAGAAACACAGTAAAGGAACAACAAGTGGCCAAAGTCATCAGAACTGTAGTTTTACCTGTAGAGCTGAATCTGGGGTGGGGGTTGGGAGCTGGTGGCTGGTAGAGTCCCTGGGGACACTGGTTGAAAAAAGCAACCTTTCTGGTGTTGGATAGATGGATGCAGGGAAGGATAATTAACAGTATTGTAAACCCTAGTACTTTAATGTAGCACTGTCTTCCCCTTGTTCTTTGATTTGCTGGAGCAGGCACCAGTAACGTCTCTATTGTGAGATTTGTTGTTACTGTTTTTGGCATATCAAATACACCACGGGGTGCTTGCCAGGCTCTGCCCTGTGGGCTGGATATACTTGGGAGCTTGCTGGGCTCTTCGAGAGGAACAGAGGAATTGAACCCAGGATGGCCGCGTGCAAGGCAAACGCCCTACTCACTGTGCTATCGCTCGAGTCCAGTACTTTACTAAAAATGACAAAAAAACAAAGTTTTGCCCAGGTCTCATTTAAATAGGTTCAGTGGCATTAGTGTTCTATTATACATTTATGTTTTATTTGGTAAAACTATATTAGCTTTCCCTATATCCAGAATATAATACAAGCAAGCTTTCATTCCTTTCATTCTATATATCCAAGGGAAAAAGCTATGTAATTTTTTGTTTTGTCCTCTCCAACAGTGCTCAGTGGGTCTTGAAGCCAGTTTTGGGTGATATTTCAGCCAAAGGGGTCAATACTCGGGCAGGTGACGCTGTGCTGCTGGGTCTCTTTGGTGCTTGGGGCAGCGTGGTTCTGGGGACTGAACTTGTGATCGGGCGTGCAGAGCATGCGCTTCAGCCCCTTTATCTTCTCAGCGTCGAGTCATTTTAGACTTGGATTGCTGCTCCGTCTCTGGGGAAAAATGGTTAGCAATGTTCACTTCTCAGGGACTACCTTTATTTAAAGGTAATTTCAAAGAAGAAAGAAGAATTTTTTTCTTCTTCTTGAGGTTTTCAAGTCCTGTCCTTGAAATATAAAATTTACCAGTGCATTTTGCAGAACATCTAGACTTGTATCATTTCATGCCAAGATTGTTAAAAATAGTGATAGCTATGTGGATGGAACTGGAAAGCGTTGTATTAAGGGAAGTAAGCCAGAGGAAAGATAAACACAGGATGACATAATTTGTGTGTGGTATTTAGAATAAACTGGATGAGGAAATGTAGTGTTTTAAAGAGGGGATGCCCAGATCGACCTTGTCCCAGAGTATGGGGAGGAGAAGTAGAGAAAGACTGGAGGGGCAGAGGGGGAGAGACAGATGAGAAGTAATGGGAACCAGGTTGGGAGAGTAGGTACAGAGGTGGTGTTAAGGAAAGATAGAGCCAAATGTCCAAACTACAGAGTCCACTACTCTGAGATCAAGACTCTGAGATCAAGAGACCCAAACTTTAACAACCAAACTTAGAAAGGTGCCTGTGGAGAGGGCAGGCTGGAGGGGGGATATGGAGGGAACCTGGAAGCTCTAGGTGGAGGGAAGTGGACACTGGTGGTGGGGTCAGTGGTGCAATACTGTATGTCTAAAACTCAAGTATGAATAGTTTTGTAAATCATGGTGCTTTAATTTTTTTTTTTTTTGCATTTTGGGTCACACCCGGCTATGCATAGGGGTTACTCCTGGCTTTGTGCTCAATAATTACACCTGGCGGTGCTCAGGGGATCATATGGGATTCTGGGAATTAAACATGGGTTGGCCTCATGCAAGGCAAATGTCTTACCCGCTGTACTATTGCTCCAACCCCCAATAATTTTTTTAATATTAAGAAAATTAAAAACAAAATGCCAAAACCCCTTAGCACACAGCTCTGTATATCATAGGTATATAATAAACTTGACTTAATGTTGAATGAATTAATAAATTTGAGCAACTTGCAATTATACATACTCTCTCTCTCTCTCTCTCTCACACACACACACACACGCACATGCACACATATAGATAGTGACAGCTGACTCCTGCATTCGCTGATCTGAGCTCCTGATGTGGCCTATACAAGTATGTAACTTACTCAGAGGGTCTGATCTGGTTTATTCTCCAAATGAGGTTTGCCATTTCTATAGGGACAAACTAAATTTTTGAACTTGTATCTTGAGGCTCTTTTAGATTAGTGTGAAGTTACTTACTCAGCTCCTAACTGATTAGGCTGGTTTGGTTGATGACTCTTGTTTCTCTGGGCGCACTGATTTTACTGTCATTGAGATCCTGGAAAGCTTTCCTGTCTTATCAGGATTAGTTGGCCAATTTGAGTCTTTTCTTTTGGCTTTTATTTTACTAGTCTGTGAGATTTGTTGTGACCATTTTCAGGGGCGTGCTCCAGAATCAAATCTTCTGGAGAAGAGTCTGGGAGGAGACACGATTCTCCTCCAAGAAATTTTTTCAATTTTTCTTTCTTCTTTTGGGGGTCACACCCGGCAACACACAGGGGTTACTCCTGGCTCATGCACTCAGAAATTACTCCTGGCGGTGCTCGGGGGACCATATGGGATGCTGGGAATCGAACCCGGGTCAGCTGCGTGCAAGGCAAATGCCCTACCCACTGTGCTATCGCTCCAGCCCCCTGTTTCAAAATGCAGGAGAAGGAAGGGCCAGACTGAGAATGATGGAGATGGAAATAACATACTTGTTGCATTTTCTTTCGGAAAATTTCATTGTCTGAACAAATTGTCTGAAGCTGATTTGATTGGCCCCTTTGAACTCTGTCCAGAGGGTGTTGGTCCCAGAGAATGAGACAGACAAACACCCATGAACTGTCCAAGCCTCAAGCTCTCCTGGGCAGCCCTGAGTAAGCCCACAGTCACTATAACATCATTCCCCACTCAGGTTCCCAGCAGGTGAATCACTGTTTAGGTTGACAGATAGTAAGGACACTTATTAAGAGCATCGGAATCTGGTAGATGTTTCAAGAGCAGAGACTGGGGTTCATGTAGCCAGGCAGCAAGGTCCTCACAGTTCTCTTCTGTTTGTGTCCACACTGCCTTCTCCATCTCAAAGACCCTAAGCTGTGTTATTCTTTTTGGGTGCATTTTTGTTGCCCATTTATATTCTTAGACTTAAGTTGTTTCTCCCAGGAAACTCTCCTGACTTTGGGCTTGGGTTTTTGTTAAGGGAACCGCCTCCCACACAAATTCCTTGGAAATTTTATTTTTATTTATTTATTTATTTATTTTTGCTTTTTTGGGTCCCACCCAGCGATGCTCAGGGGTTATTCCTGGCTCTGCACTCAAGAATTATTCCTGGCAGTGCTTGGGGGACCATATGGGATGCCGGGGATCGAACCCATTCCTTGGAAGTTTTAAATGACAGAGTCAGGATATACAGCACGAGATATAAGGAGCTAGTTTGAGAACTGTGTGTACCAGCTGTATGATTGGGGGAGACGTTTCTTCAAAGGTTTTTTTTTTTTTTAAACTTAATAGTACCATGGTTCTAAATGAGACAAAAAGCTATTTCTGTTCTTAAACTTCAGCGACATTGGTAGATCCTGCAGGACAAAAAGTAGTGAATGTTCACTTGTAAATATATACATATGCATATACATACATACATACACAAGAATTGTTTTAATGCTCAAACTCTCGTTTGGAGATGATTTCATTTATCTTACGGTATTTCAGTTTTTCTTTAGTTTTTACAAGTTGGAATGAATGAAAGGAAACTTCTTTTTTGAAAAGGTTGCATTCTGCATTCCTTTTCTTAGCTCCAATTCTAAGTTCTTTAGAAAACTTAGCATTACATTTCCTGATTACAGATAGAGATTCTTTTAGCATTTGTAAGAAATATGATCTGTTAAATGTAGAGAAAGATCTCCCCCCAACCTCCCCCCTCCCCCCCAGCCCAAGAGACTCTTCTTGGAAGATTCAACTAAACATTGTCCTGTTTACTTTCTAAGTGTAGTGTCCTGTATCTTTCTGGACTACAGTATAATGTATTTGAGGTTTGAATATTTTGAGAGTTTGGACAGAACATTGAATTACTTGAAAAAGGTGTGGAGAATTTTTTCCTTAGATGCTTATGGTCATTTCTTTTCTCTATTAGTGTTTTTAAATGTAAGGCACTTAGACAGTTAAAGACTGTTAACTGGGGCTTGCATTCTATGGCATTAGGGTGATAATCATTCTTGCTACATAATGTCCTAGTTAGAGCTTTGCCGTTCTCTTTTTTTCTTTTGAGCTTTGCTGTTTTGGATCTCACTGAGATCCAAGTACTCAGAGCTGGTATAGATGATGAGAAGAAGAAATGAATATTTATTAAATATAAACAAGCATAAAGCATTTATTTATTTTTTCTTTAGGTACCTTGGGTAACGTGGAACATGGTAACCAATATCAGATCAAACTGATGTATGAACACAATCTTCAGAGAACAGCGTACAACATGACTTATGGACCATTTGGTGGTGTCAAAGGTAATTTGCGTTTAATCCTAGCATGTTATTTCAAGTATCAATTTTAGAACATCTGGCCACATAAAAATGGAAGGCTTTTGTGATAGGACTGTCAGAGAGAATTAAGTATAGTTTACAGATATCTTTGTGTTCAAATACCCAAGAAAAATAAAAAAAGAAACGTTAAACTCAGAATGTGTTTGATTTCCGTATAACCAGCACTTTAATTTTTTTTGGGGGGGAGGTCCTTAAGACATTTTTAAATTTTAATTAACAATTATTTATTTTTCCTCTCACTTTATTTAAACACCATGGTTTACTAAGATTTGTTAGGGGTATCCTGTATTCCAACACCAGTTCCGCCACCACTGTCACTTTCCATCCACCATTGTCTCCATTTTCTCAACCATCTCTCATGCTTGCCCCTGTAGCAGGCCCACAGTAGTTTATTTTATACTGTGTGTTTCCATTAAATGAGTAACAAAGTGATCAAAAAATATTTCCATGGAAGAAAGTTTGTGAAAATTGTTGTTTCTCACCATGAGAACATTAAGACCTTGTCTGAGGGTTTGCTAAGCTGTTGTTGCAAGTTAAGCCTTTGTGTGGTTTTGGTAGTGGAGATTGGTTGGCTTTTATGTTATATCCCATCCAATCTGGGTGCTAGAATTTGGGAGGTTGTAGAGTTTGGAGATGGCATTTGGTCATAAATGCTGCTGCACACTCCAGAAAATCCAGAAAATTTAACTTGGCAGTCTGAGAAAGTTTTGTGACTAGGTGATCTCTTTCAAGATTTATTATGAGTCTCTTAACCAGCAGTTTTAAAAGTATAACTGTAGTGAAAGTTTTCTGGTCTTTTCTCATGTATGTGAGCTGACTGGAGCTGGGTCCTTCCTGCCTGAAGCTGAGCTCTCGGTGGTGGGACTGTGCTCCTGCCTCTGTCCATTGAAGAAGGGGTCCTCACGTTCTTCCCTGCATGCCTTTTGCATCCCATCCATCTCCAGGACCTATGTTGATGTTTGTGCAGGCGGTGTTTGACCAACTCTGTGCATTGGTCCCTGGGTGATGACTGGAATGACCCTTCCCAAGAATGGGGAGCAAGGGCTGGCTTCTGTGGGTTCTGCCTGCTCCACTGACCCCTTGAGGCAGGGTTTCTTCTTCCTTAGAGGCGTTTTCTAATTCTCTCGAGAGCCGTGTGCAGTGTGCCAGCCTCAGCTCAGAGCTGGCTGTCCCCACTCTGGTGTAGGGCAGGGCTTTCTTACAGCTCACCTCTCCCTTAGCCACAGTCCCGGACCATGGGCGCTGCCAGTGCAGGACTGGGGACTGAGCTGGGGTGGGGATGGGGGAGGGGGATTCGCTGTGGGCATCCGGGGCACTTGCAGAGCTTTTAGCTAGGAATTGTAGCCCTTCTTTTTGGCTCAGGTGGTTGAGTTTGTTGTGTGATTGCCACTAGGCTGCCTCTGTTAGACATTTTTAGTGATAGGGGAAAAACTCCTTTGCTTGAGAGGTGTCATTCATCACTGTGAACTCAGTGAATTTGAGCTTGAAATATTCCTTAGCATCCAGGAATACTTTGGGTGATGTATGTAACAAAAGACTTAATTGAATTGCAGGAGTGAGTGGGAGGAAAGTTTCAATTATTTGAGGAATAGGAGAGGTGTTAAGAGTTAGATGAAAGGCAAAGAGGAAGAGAAGAGCAATAGTTGGATCTGAGGTCCCCTTCTATCTGCTTGTGTCCCTCTGGCCACTGAGGTCAGAACTGATTCTAATTCTTCCCTCCCTTCCTTCCTCCCTCCCTCCCGCCCTCCCCCTCTCTTTCTTTCTTTCTTTCTTTCTTTCTTTCTTTCTTTCTTTCTTTCTTTCTTTCTTTCGCTTGAACCCTTACCATCACAGATACATGGTATGTGCTTTTTATTGAACCAACTCCCTGACCCTAATTTTCATTGACCTTTAATATAAAAGTACATGATGTGAATGTGGGACCTAGTTCTTCCTTATTTAGTGAACTATTCAGTTCTTTACTAAATTCCCCATAGGCAAATTATTGAATTCTGTGCATCTGGATCCTAAAAATTGTGATATGAGAAAAAAGTGGTTTGGGTAAATAAAAGTGGGGTTTTTTTTTGATAGCATGAGGATGGTACTTTAACTTTTCAGATCAAGGTAACTAAAATAACATTTTAAGTAAGTAAGCTGTCTTACTTTCTTATAACATTTTGCTGGATTTAGCAATGGATTTCCAAAGTGATGATCATTGCTTCTCGTTTGGAAAAGAACAGTTGACTTTGTGCTTATATATCTTCTCTTAATTATTTTCAGTTATATCTGACATTAAGAAGTACTGTTTGAAAAGCAAGAGGATATTCTGACATATTTTACCTTCTTGCGGTTAAGCAGAATATTCCACAATTTGAAACAGAAGTATTTGAGCGGCAGAGGGAATTACTCCATTTCATGGCTTTGAAACACTTATGTAATATCATCAAGGTTGCTACAAGAAAAGAGGGGAAAGTAGTTGGGTGGTAGATGAATAAAAGTTGGCGTGGGGGAGGGTTGGCTGGGCAGGAGAAGTGGTCACTGCTCAGGGGCACAAGGGTTTTTTCTGGGATGTGAGAGTGCTTGCAAATTAGATTATGGTAATTGTTACATAAATATGTGAACTATACTCAGTAAATATGTGAAATATTGTTGAGTTGTAAACTTTAAAGGGGTATGTAAATTGTATCTTTATAAAACTGTTAGAAACTAACCATGGAATAAAATCTGATGCCAGGCCAATCCGGGCACCCTTACATTGTTTGTGTAAAACAATTTGGTGCTCTTATAATAAAGCAGGTCAGTTGTGCTGAGAATTGTGAAAATGTTCTTGAAATGTGACTGATGGGAAGAGGAAAGGCCATATCCAGCTGTCATTTATTTAATTTCTTTTTCTCTTCTCCTTTGCTTTCTTTTGTATATATCGTATGTTCCAAACTAAGAAAAATAGAAATAAATGAGTAATTAAGAAGAAGGGCCAAGTCAGTTTTAATGCATAGGTTCAGTGGGTATCATATGACTAAAGTTAAATCTTGTTTTCTGAAAAGAACATCTTTGAATGTAAATCTTTATCTGTGATTCTAAAGATTTCCATAGGATAGAGTTGTAGAAATAGAGTTACTGAGTCAGAATGTTTAAAAAATACTATTTCCTCTCAGTCTGAAAGCAGCTTCCATTCTACACATGAGTTCCTGATTAATAAATGCCAAAAAGTACAGAACTTACGAAGAGGTAAGTGAAAGTCACTCCAAGATGCACGTGTTTCTAGAGTGTATCTGTTGCAAGACTGACCTTTGCAGGACTGAGAAGGTCAGGCTTTTAATTGGAAAACTTCCCTAGGCTGGATCAGAGCTTTGAATAGAAAACTTCAGAAAATCCTTCCCCTCTCTCTTCCTTCCTGTATATATAAGATCCCTTCTTGTGGGAGTTGAAGTCATGTCAGTAATCCTCAAGAAAGGAATAAAGCGTAAAAGGAAGCCTGGGAATATTTATTATGATTATGATTATGATGATTCATTTTAGCTTGGGCTTCTCATGAGGTGCTTACAAGGCCTGGGACCCTTTCTTGGTGATTCTCAGCTGACTGGTTTGGGGATGTAATTGTGGGGGGCCTGAGGGTTTGGGCCGGCCTCCAAGGCTGCTCCTCGGGATGCTCAGGGACCATGAGGTGCTGGGTCAGCAGCCCTGCTGCATCTGGGGCCTGTGGGTGAGCCCTTGTCCCGTATCTCTGGCCCTTATTATTAGTATTGTTATTTTGTTTTTTGGGTGACACCCAGCAATGCTCAGGGCTTACTCCTGGCTCTACACTCAGAAATCTATCCCGGCGGGTCCCCGGGGGACCATATGGGATGTTGGGGATTGAACATAGGTCGGCCGTGTGTAAGGAAAAAGCCCTACCCACTGTACTGTTGCTCTGACCCTATTGTTCTCTTATTTTAAAGAGTCGTCTGTAGTTTAATGCTTTCTGAGAACTAGGTCATATGCATCGTATCAGCACATGATTTGTGGTGATTTCAGTACAACCAGAGTGAAGATTGTAGTTAGCTAACAGACACGCTCAGATAAATGTACAACGTCAGCGTCAGCATATTTCATTTCCATGGTGCATTAAGGGCTGGTTTTATTCGTGTCTCATTAGTAGAACTTTCTCTCCACTTAGTTAACTTGCATTGACATGGCTTTTTGGAGATGAATCTGGAGATAATGCTTTACTTTAAGTCAAGCCACAGAGGGGATTCTGTATTTCCCATTTCTCCTTATGCCCTTAATTTCCATTACATATGAAAAATAGTTCCCAGTAAGCTGGAGATAAAATGGTGAGACGGGACCTAACTCAATTATGTGTCGGACACTATGTCTTCAGATTCCAGGAACCACTGAGCTCTCCTGACCTCTTGAAGCATTTCAGCTTTTTTGCTCCCTTTGCTGTTGGAGGTGCTCTTCCTTCTCAGAAAGTTCTCTTTCCTTTGGGCTGCCCCTCATTTCCCTCTGCAGCACCTAAAAATGTGGCTCTTTTTTGCTTTGGTCAAGTCTTTTTTTAACTTAACTTAAATAAATTTATTTACTAAATAAATGTTCCTCTGTTCTTCTCAGAGAGCCTGGCAAGCTACTGAGAGTATCCTGCTCGCACGGCAAAGCCTGGCAGGCTCCCCGTGACGTATTCAATATGCCAAACACAGTAACAACAAGTCTCACAATGGAGACGTTACTTGTGCCCACTCGAGCAAATTGATGAACAACAGGAGGACAGTGCTACAGTGCACTGCTAAAATAAATGTATTTATATTTTATGACAGTAGCCATGTTAACTGTCTTATCCTTGTAGCTCTGCTACCCCAGGCTCTCCACTAGAATTTCCAGGGCCCTTCCACCACCATCTCAAGGCCCCCGACTATCTCAAGCCCCCACAACATGATCTCAGGGTCCCTTCCCTCTCACTTCCCCTCCCCCCGCCAGAACCCCCAGATCACATTTCTATTAACCACTGA